ACACATTGCGTGTGGAGATGCGTCCATTTGGGTATGGAACCTATCTTACCTCGCTGTCGCGTGATACTGACTGCGCAGCGTCCGCGTTGTGAACATTATCAGTGGTGAGGTACACACCAACATTCTCAAAAATGACCACGGCAGATCCCTACCAGATGGTGAGTTTAACTTGTTATTTTCAATCAAAGGAAGCAGTCATCTCAATAGAGTGGTGTATAGATTCGGTTTATTATCCAATGAACGACGCGTTCCAGGCACATCTCTACCGAAAGCCAGGTGAGCTCGACACATTTTCGAATGGTAGCAATAGTTTAATCTAATCCGTATCCCAGATGGTATCACCCCCGATCAGTATGCCGCTGGGGTGGTGAAGGAGATTTTGAAAAAGTCACCAGTACCCTGGTTCTGGTTTGGTGCATCGTCGGGCATGATCCGGTGCATTGATGCCTTTCTCCCGCGGACATTTTGGGTATGTCCCTATACTTCGGTTTACATGTTCGGGCTAATTGTGGTTTAGGATTGGTTCTTTGGCCGTCTGTTCAATCTTGGAAAGTTGGCTGAGTTGCAGTCCGGTGGAGTGAAGCTAACCTGATTTGAGATTGGAATGGAGTGGAGCCAGCTGCATATACGCGACCCCCCTTGGTTCAAATGAAATACTAGTCCCGGGAGCGAGTGAAATCAATTCATCTTTATCCACTACCGTAATCTCAATGCGTAAGATAAAGCATTAATCAATGGATCCGCCACTGGATGCACAAGAGAGTCGGTGTTTACATCTGGCGGATATCCGGTGCTCCGAAGCGGAGGACCGTGAAGCAATGCTGAAGGGCGTTGAAGATACTCACCGCAGCGAATTTGCACTGTGGCTTCAAGGTATATTAATCTAAGTATTCTATGAGATTTTGTACCAGATCAGTGTTGGAGTTCAAGAACAGATAAACCAAGATGCCCATTGATGGGTTTGCCTTGGTGACTGGCGCGGGTATGTACAGAATGAGCAACTCCAAGACCAACGCAGAATTAACCCATCTCAAGGAAGCGGAATAGGACGCGACTGTGCCATGGCATTCGCTAGTGAAGGAGCAAAAGGTGTCGCCTTTGCAGACATCAATCTCATAGCGGCAATGGAGGCTGCCGAAGAGAGCAAGGCCCAGGCTAGCAACTCAGCTTACCGGGCTATCGCCCTACAAGCGGACGTATCAAATGAAGAAAGCGTCCAGCGTATGGTTGATACGACATTGAAGGAGTTTAACCGTATTGACTATAGCATCAACAGTGCTGGAGTGAGTCGGCTACGTCTATTTCGTCTCTTTGGTCTCCGCAAAATTCAATCTAATGCATGTCGTACTGCAGCTCGGGATCAAAAATGCCCGACCGGTGTCTGAAACCTGCATGGCGGAGTTCGACAATCTGATGTCCGTCAATGTCAAAGGTACCATGCTATGCGTCCGTGCTGTAAGCCGAGCGATGAAGACCCAGGAGGAACGCCTCGTGGCGGGTCGGACCGGGTCGTTCAACGTCGGTCGGGGTAGCATTGTCAACCTCGCCTCAGCAAACTCCGTTGTTGCCTTCCCCGAGATCGTTCAGTACACCGCAGCGAAGCATGCGGTACTGGGGATTACGAAGACGGCTGGTACTAATTCTCAGGATTTGAAGACTATATTACATGCTGACCAACCCAAGCTCTAGACAATGCACCTCATGGTATCCGTGTCAATGCAGTCTGTCCATCGTGGGTAGAAACCCCGATGATTGATAAGGCTTTTGAGGGGAACCCCGAAATACGCCTAGCCTTGTCCGCTAGCATTCCTGCGGGGCGCCTGGCTCACCCCGAGGAGGTGTCCAACGTGGTCTTGTTTCTGAGTGGCCCGAAATCTAGCTATGTGACGGGGGTCGGGTGGCTTGTGGATGGCGGAACCACCTTGCAGATGAAACACGGATGATAGATAGGCGTCTGTAAGATGAGGTTGAATTCATCTAATTGGTTTACCATCACTTTGATTTGTTTTCTTGCCTTGCGCTTTCCAACGGCATGTAGCGCTCGTCTTGGCAACGGGGTCAGATCTTCGCTCCGGGTGGACCAACTCCGACAATAATGGGAAGATGCAGATCCGACCAATCATCACGATGGATCAATAGAGAGTAATATTGCTAGGCCGAACAGATCAAGTAAAAATATCAGTCGTAGTCCCCCTTTCTGGATTAACACATTCCAACAAATTAAGCTAGGAAAGATAGCCTGAAACTGCATATTCTCAGGATGGAAGCCAACAGCCCAAAGCTGCGTTCTCTTTTCCCCGTTTTGCTTCCCGCAATTGCAATAGCTGGGGTAATCTATAGCTATTTTCGATCATGGTATCGCCTTCGCGATTTCAAGGGACCATGGCTAGCTGGCTTGACGGAGGCTTGGCTCTTTCGCACCACCACGACCGGGGAATTGCATATGCGATTATACGAAGTCAATAAGAAATACGGTCTGTCCTATTAAACATACTACGTCATTTTATCCTTTGACTTTTTCAGCGCTGATAGTGTGAAGGTGACCTGACTCGAATTGGACCCAACTGGCTCATGACAAGCGACCCGGAGATAATCCGTTACATGAGTGCAGCGAAATACAAGCACCAGAAATCGTCTTGGTATGAATCTTTGAAGGTGGATCCTTATGTGCATAGCGTCTTCTCGGAACCTAACCTGGAGAAACACGACAAATTGCGAGTTAAGATGCAATCCGGGGTATGCACTGCATTGTTTCGCAACACGTGAAATGTCCGCTAATAAGTCTGGAAATGATAAACAGTACTCTCTGAAAGAAAATCGAGATCTTGGTGTCAAAATTGATGCCGAAATCGCTTCACTGGTTAACTTGATCGAGAGAAAGTACATCTCCACGGCGAAGGAGGTTCGCCCGATTGACTTGGCGCAAGCCGCTCAGTATTGGTCGTTGGACGTTATTACCAGTATTGCTCTTGGTGAACCATTTGGGTATCTCACCGAAGACAGAGACATGTATGACTTTGTGAAAATTATTCAAGGCGAATTACCGCTCGCAACCGTCTGCTCGTCGACACCCACATTGGGAAATCTCGTTTTTGGATCGGGACTGGTCACACTTATCGGGCCAACTCCCAAAGATGAAGCTGGGCGAGGAAAGCTCATGGGGTAAGATGCTACTTCTTACATTCCACTCATCGAATTCAAACTGATCGAGAGATAGAATAGCGAAGAAGGTTGTGGGCGATCGGTACGGCCCCAAAAAGGTCGTACGGGACGACATGCTGGGAACTTTTGTTCGAAACGGGCTCGACCAACGTCAAGCTGAATCTGAGATTCTTACTACCATGTATGGTCAAAAATTCACTCTTTTCATCATACCCGATGTGACAAGTCACTAATTCTACAAGTCTGGCTGGATCCGATACGACGGCTACCGCTATTCGCGCGACTATGCTACATATCATGACGAATCCTCGAGTTTATAACACTCTCGTTCAAGAAATTCAGAAAGCAGAGACAGATGGGTCTATCTCCTATCCCATAACATCAGCCGAGTCTCGTAAAATGCCCTACATACAAGCGGTAATCAAAGAAGGCTTGCGAATTCATCCGCCCATTACTGGTCTCTTGACTAAGGTTGTAAACCCAGGTGGGGAGACAATCAAAGGACGGTTTGTTCCAGGGGGTACTGGTATTGGCCATTGCGGATGGGGAATCCAACGTCACGAGGTCTTCGGAACTGACGTGGATGTTTTCCGGCCTGAGCGATGGATCGAAGCATCTGATATGCAAAGAAATGAGATGGAGAGGACCATGGAGCTGGTTTTTGGTACCGGTCGATGGGGCTGCCTTGGTAAAGCAATTGTGATAGTCGAATTAGACAAGATCTTTGTGGAGGTTCGTTTCGCTTTCTATCCCTGAGAAATCAACCCCCTGGGCTAACCAACCTGAAGCTTCTCCGAAGATTCGATTTTGAGCCCATTTACCCTGGGTCTCCGTGGAAAAGTAGCAATTTTACTCTCTTTATGCAGAAGGAGATGTGGGTACGCGTTACAAAGCGTGTCGCTTAGTGTCCTTACGGCGCAAGGGATCATTCTCAGAATTTTGAATATGCTAGCAAACCTGAGATCCGTCATGGAATATATGTCTTACTATTGTTCCAAGCAAGGTTACAAGTTACTCTGAGTTCTTGGCACAAATGATGTTCCTGCTTCTTTATTATATGATATTTAGGGTATTGGCCCCCGTAGGCCAGGCGCATGTTGGAAGCTAGAATTTTACATTAGGATTCCCCACCATAGCTCCTCTGTTAATATGAGTAACATAACCTATACACTTTTCAGTTAACCTCATCTGACCACTTGTCTTCGTAGATATCGACTCCTACCAACAGCGAAATGGAGTTACCGGAACTCAGCATGCTATAATACCTACAGAAAGAGAATGGGAAAAGAGGACATAGAAACTATAAAGCCTTATTATATGTTGAAACAGCAGGACGATAAGAAGGCAAGTATGGACTCTATCTCCAAAACATATAGTAAATACGATAGATTACAACTTGATATCTCAACAACGGCGATATATACTAGCTTTCCCTCTAAATTCTATAGTTTTTTTGTGGTATCTAGCTACTTTAGAGAGTTTTAAAGATTTTGGTGTTCTAGTAAATGGCATATACTATATATTTCTGGAGCCCAGCGACGTAATTTTCAATACGACAACAATATAAGCTTTCAATTTAGTTAAAACTGCTCTATATTACTAAAAATGCTTATCAATACCTATCTACCCATAGTGAAAATTAACTTAAGTTGTGGTGGTTGAAACATGAGGCTATAATTTGTCATATTTACTATGTGTTTTGGAGATAGCGGCTCGCTTGTGGTGGCGGCTCGCATGTGAAATACGTTAACTAACTTCATCTTCTCTCAACATGCTCGCCCTCCTTCTCTTTATCCATCATGGCACGAATGTGTCATATGTATCACGTCAAAATCAGTCTAGTGATTGTCTCCAAAATCGGGAGAAAGCTCATTTAGCTCAACCACAAATTCCTTGCCGTTAATGGGATCCATAGGTTGGCAATCCAACAGCACAAAAAGCATGCGCCCGGGCTTATCGGATGACACGTTGCGCCATCGGTGAGCTGTGGCGCGCTGAACAAGGACATCTCCTCGCCGCATGATACGCTTTTCACCACTGTCCAACTCAACCTCGAATTCTCCTTCAATAACTGTGCCATAGTCCAACGACATGGCACGGTGCATGGGTGACTCCACGCCAGGTGCGAAGTCGATCATGCGCACGAGTGTACCACCAGGAACGTGAAGACCGGGCTGAAAATGAATATTCAGTAAAGGTTTCCCCCCGACTTTAGGGATTTCAGGAAACTCACTGGATTATTCTTTGCCAAGGCGATATCGACTTCGCCATTGAGATCGACTGCTTCACCCTGGGTGGTGTAAAGGATATTTTGGCAGCCACGGCCATTTGCCATCAAGGCCTGATGGTCTCCATTATCAGCGTGAAGAAAAACCCCTTCGCCTTGAGAGTTGTGAGTAGTGATAAAGCGCTTGATGTCGGGGAGACCTGCTCCTGGGAATTGGGTGAAGGGCCCCTCGGTGGCATAGATATCGGCATAGACTTTGGATGACATTTTGGATAACACACGAGCTTGCTTATTTGAATAGGGAAATAAGATACGAAGCTCTGAATTTATGTCGAGGGTCTTCAAATCGGACTACATTGTTTAAGCTGATGTTTACTTCTTGGCTTGGCATTATTACAGCGGAGCTCCGGTTTGCATTTCACCCCGAACCTCAGTTTGCGGATTACACCGCAAGTGCGGCGCCCGATCCCTGTTTTCGACTCAGTATCGTCAATTCAAATACAGCTTACTCTCTGAAATATTTTGCTATACTTGAAAGCACTGCCGGAGTCTTCCGGGGTTCAGCTGTGCGAAGCGGGATTCAAGCAACCTTATCCTTCAATCACCTCCATATCCTCCCCTCTGCACACTCAGAATGCAAACACAAAAGATTTTCATCACCGGTACAACCGGATATCTTGGTGGTACAACTCTTGACTTGGTGTCAAAGACGTTTCCCGCCGCAGAATACTCTGTTCTCGTGAGAACAAAAGAACAGGCCGACGCCATCACATCGGCATACCCCTCCGTAACAACAATTATTGGTGACATTTCCTCCCAGGACATTGTGACACATGCCGCAAATGCAGCAGATATTGTCATCGATATTGCAGGGGACAATGAATCGGGTATTCAAAACATTTTGTCCGGGTTAGCCAGTAAGCCGGGCAAGGGCACGTTGATCCACGTCTCCGGGATCACCTGTCTCCTTGACCCATCCAGTCTTAACCTGGGCTATGCTGCAACCCGCATCTACAACGATTTAGATGACAAGGGTGAAATCCTGGCCTTTGAGCCAACTCGGGAACACGCTATACTGGACCAGAGAATCCTGCGAGCTCCGGAGGAAATGGGCGTCAACACAGTCATTCTGAGCTCATGCCAGATCATCGGTAATGGGTCTGGACCATGGAAGAAAGACTCTTTTGGTCATGGATACGTTAAGACAGTTCTCGGACGTGGAAAGGGGTTTGTCGTCCAGCAGGGTGAGAATGTGTGGAGTTGGTGCTCTGTTCGGGACGTCGCTTCCGCCATTGTCTTCACCCTGGACAAGATTATCACTGGCTCTTCCGATATAGAGTATGGACAGGATGGGTATTACTTTGTTCAAACTGGAGAAGTGAGCTTCAGAGAGCAGGCCCAAGCTGTGGCGACGAAGCTCCAGCAGCTTGGTAAGCTGGACACCGACGCCATCGATGAGTTGAGTGTTCCTCAGGCAACTAAGATCCATCCCTACGCTGGTCTTCTGTGGGGGGCAAGCTGTCGCAGCAGAGCTGGTCGTCTAAGGTCTATTGGATGGTCACCACAAGAGAGAGACTGGAAAGCTCTTATGGATGAGACTGTCGTTGCCGCTACCGCTGTTTGACCAAGAAGGCTGTTAACCCCCTGGGAAACACAGTAATCTTCATTTATGCCTTGAAGCCAAAGTGTAGATAGAAGCCATGCTTGAGAGGGTGCTGCTATCATATTGTGTCTACTCAGATCCTTGGAAGATGTAGACAAAGGTCCCGTAGCGAGTAAGACGACGGATTTAGGATTGATATTAGACGATACAATTGGATTCACAATCTTGGGTCTGTTCAGCCATTCCACGTACGTCCCTTCCTACAGGGTTATTGCAATCCACCTCACGTGATTAGTACTCAGTTCGAACCTCAGGAGCAACATTATGCAAGACTGCAGTGATCTCTGCCCAGACCTTCTCTCTCACGACCCGTGCGTCTTGGCTTGTGACAATAGCACCAGGGCTAAACATGTCAGTGATGCAAACTATCAGTTCTTGAACAGAACGGACTTACTCTGTGATAACCTGATTCTCTAACCACTTCCCGTGAGTCTCCACATCCTGGCTTACTGCATGCAGCAATGTTTTGCTACCCTCTTCCACCGTCCTAGCAATCAAAGCTTGGATCAGCTTCAGAATCCACGGCGCCTTTTCCCTAGTGAGGAGATTCGATTTGCAAAATCCCGGCGTCACGGCATTGACAATCACAAGAGGGTTTCCGGACTCATCACGGGGCACAAGTCGAGCTATCTCAATGGTAATGAAGATATCCATGAGCTTGGTCACACCGTAGCGCTCGGTAGCACCGCCTCCCGCCTGGGATTTCTTCCACTGCTCCTCGCTATTCAAGATAGAAAGGATGCCCTTCTCATTCCGCTCGGGAAACTTGATCGATTTGTGGATATCGCTCGTAAGAAGCGCCAGATGCGGTTGTGCTAATGGATCCCGCTCTTTAGTTCGCAGCAGTAGCGGCAAAAGCTCTAGACTGAGGAGCGCGGTCGATAAAACATTGACCTGGATTCCTCTCTCCCACCCATCGCGGGTAACAGCGTACTCGACCGACGCAATTCCTGCATTCATGATAGCCATGTCCAGTCGGCCGCCCTCTATGACAACGTGTTTGCGAACTCGAGCTGCGAAGGCTTGGACGCTAGCAAATGATTCGAGATCGATCGGCCATACAAGAACCTTTCCTTTGTCGGTACAGCCGGTGCTTGCTTCGATGTTGGCTTTGGCATCTTCACCCTTGCTCAGGGTTCGAACGCCCAAAATGACCGTACCGGCGCCTAGAGCGAGCGCATGCCTGGCAGCTTCCAGACCGAGGCCAGTGTTTGCACCGGTGATGAGGATGGTCTGCCCCTGGATGACCGAGGGGGGTGGCAAAGTGAGTTTGGTGAATAGAAGGCCGAATAAAGCACTCATGGTGGTTTGAGATCGAGCAGAAGGTTGAAATTCAACAAACTCTAGCCTCTTGGGAATGTTTTTATTTCAGGTAGTGGAACCTGCCTGAACACCTTGCACCATGAGGTCATTCTCAACTGCAGTCTGAGATTGGGATCCGATGGAGGAATCCCTGGCCGATGAACCTATAGCAGCCATTATCGCCTGGTTTCTTTGTCTCCTGATTCAGCGTCACCGGAGTCGGATGGAAATCAAACCGAATCCGCTCGGACAGATTAGTTCGGATATAAAGTTTTAATTCCGGCGTGTATCATCACGTGACGCCCAATCTATGGACTGGCATATACTATAGGAAGTGAGTGCGCCTCTATTTAAGTACCCAAGGAGGCTTTATTGGTATTTTTGTTGTTAGCATACCTCTTTCTTAATTTACACGATCTTTCATCTTTGAAGCCTTGGAACTTCCAAAATGTCGTCAACAACTACGATCACTGCCCAGGGGGTCGACTCGTCAGGGAGTGGTGATTTGCCTACAGATGTGTCGGGTACAGAGAAGGCACTTGTAGCCGAAGAGATACTTGTGGGCTCCCAAAGCTCTCCACGGGATGTTCATGGACTCAAATGGGTGCTAGTTGGTAAGTGGATCAAGAGCCGGAATGATAAAAGATAGATCAGAAATGGCTGATACTACTTGTATTTCTAGTCATCTCAATCTTTTCTTGTGTATTCCTCTTCGCACTAGACAACACGATTGTAGCAGATGTGCAACCGGCGATTGTCAAACAGTTTGAGGACCTGGCGATGCTTCCATGGCTCTCTGTGGCCTTTATGCTTGGCGCTGCGAGTACTCTCTTGATTTGGTATTGATCTAGTCCGCTCCTATATTCCCAGGTTCTATACTAATAAAAATTCAGGGGCAAGGCATATGGTCAATTTAATTGTAAATGGCTGTATATTGTCACAACCGCCATTTTTGAGGTTGGCTCGGCAGTCTGTGGCGCTGCCCCAACCATGAATGCGCTGATCGTGGGACGTGCAATCTGTGGTCTTGGAGGCGCCGGTATGTACTTGGGTGTCATGACCATCCTCTCGATGCTCACAACGCCTACTGAGCGACCAATGTATCTTGGAATGGTTGGCTTGACCTGGGGAGCAGGCACAGTGTATGCAACACCGACACAGTAATCTCTTGTTTGCTTTGACTATGCTGATCAATTCTCCTAGCCTCGGACCCATTATCGGTGGTGCTTTTACAGACAGTTCTTCAACTTGGCGCTGGTCTTTTTACATCAATCTTTGCATTGGAGGTCTCTTTGCCCCAGTGTTCTTTTTTATGATCCCTAGTGTGGACCCTCGTCCGGGAACCCCACTCAAAGACCGACTGGCACAGATCGACTGGTTCGGCCCTATCATGTTTATCGGTGCCTATGTATCAGGCATCATGGCCATTGCCTTTGGTGGAGTCCTTTACGAATGGAGTGACAGCCGTATCATTGGCATGTTTGTCTGCTCTGGGGTCCTTTTTATTCTATTCTTTATCCAGCAAGGATTCAACATTATGACAACATATCACAAGCGGATCTTTCCAATGCAATATTTGCGGAACAAGGAGATGATTCTCCTCTTTATTGAGACTGCCGCAGCTGGAACCTCCTCGTTTGTTCCGATTTACTTTATTCCTCTTTACTTCCAATTTGTGAAGGGTGATGGTGCCCTGGATGCAGGAGTGCGTCTACTTCCCTTTATTATTCCAATGGTCATTTTTAATCTTGTGAATGGAGTTGGAATGAGCTTGACGGGTTATTACATGCCCTGGTATCTTCTTGGTGGGATATTTGTCCTTGTCGGTGGCGTACTGCTCAAAATCACCACTTTGACAACGAGTGTGGGTCAAATATACGGTGCCCTTGTCATCGGCGGTATCGGAACTGGAGTCTTCTCACAGGCTGGGTTTTCTGTGGCGCAATCTCTAGTCCCGCCCGAGGAGATTCCCATGGCAGTGGGCTTCATGACCTGTGCCCAGGTGGGAGGTTCAGCCATTGCTCTCTCCATTGCCAATACTCTCTTCCTAAATCGTGCAACCGTTCAGATTATGGATCTGCTTCCGACTGAAAGTGAGACCACCATCCAGGCCATGATTTCTGGCGCAAACACGGCACTCCTTGACTCACTGAATGCTGCCTTGAGAACCGATGTTTTGAAGGCTATTGTCAACGCAATCACGGATGCTCTGGTTCTCAATCTCACTGCAGGATGTATTGCTGTTTTGGTGGCAGTTTTTCTGCGACGCACAAAGATGAGCCAGACTCATGGCGCAATAGGAGGTATGTGAGAGCAAAATCTACACTTAATCTTAGGGCAGTGTTCCGAGGGCTTTGGGCCAAGGTTTCATACTAGGTATAGGTAATATCAAATTGATAGGTTTTCCTAGGTTGTACCTATATTGGGTTACTCTTAGAAGAACGTTTACTGGGTACACGATGCAATCTTTATTAAATACTACGTGAAGCTGCCTTAAATCATTTGTATAACTATATGTATGCATATATGTCATATGGCCAGGAAAATGATTTAAATCAACATCTACCTATCTATATACATGCAGTTTAGATAGAGCCGTCCAATCTTCCAACTCATGATATTTCCATTGAATATAATTGCCTGGTTAGGCATTGTCGAGGGCAAGAACACCTGTAGGGATGATCTTCATGGCTAATAGATAGATATAGAGACCTTAACCAAGTCCGTAGAGGTGAAAGGCTCCCTAATTTGGTAAATGTATGCAGCACACTCATCTTATACCTGTACAGAGGTGGAATGTCTAGAAGAGGCTTAGTAGAACGAGGCTACCCCTCTCTTCTCTATTCATAGAAGTGAAACGTCCTAAATCCTTTCAACAACTCCCAATCAAGTGTGGGTTTGTCACTGATAAGACCATTATCGACATCCGCCCCCCAGTAAGAAGTCTGCCAATGTGGCTCCGCCAAGAACATGCTAATTTTTGCTAGCGCGGTGTCTTGCATATACTATCTAATACTTTGTAGGCAGTCTAGCAATTGTGAGTTATCAATTTGATCCTGTAGCAGAGGCCTGGGGTGCTGTTCCTAGATAGAGGGTGAGAGAGCTTATTGAAAGTATGCCTCAAAGTATGCAGGATGTTATCAATGCTTAGGGGGCCCATACCAATTGATAGAGAGAGAGAGAGAGAGCGCGCGCCTGGGCAGAGAGAGCTTTGTTTGCATTGTCATTGTTTGCACTATTTGTCTTATTGCCCAGGAAAATACACAGTATTCAGATGAAATAAAACATCAAAATTACTAGTCTGAAAAGATCATTTTTTTCTAATCTATACACCCTAGGAACATGATTCTTTGATCACCTATTTGCGAGCATGCAGCAGAATGGGCACCAGTATGCAGGGTATAACACTACGGCATATTTTATTACGCGGTGCGGCGCTCCAGCCGCTATCTTCCTTTAACATAACAGCGTTTTGATTCTTCAAGATATATTGAAAACAGTAGCATCTAGGTAAGGTGTCCAACTTGCTTACCGAATACGTTCAAGCAGACCAGAATTGTGCCATTGGGGTTATTTGGGTCTCCATTGGCCTAGGATATCAATAGGTCCTGCGGGCGGATTCCATTCTACAGAAATAAATGTAAATTGGTTCCTACAAATCATAAGTTTTGGGATGATAATTCACGCCGAAATGAAATGCAAGTCAGAAACTAGCATACTGTTATCTGTTATACAAAAGTCCCAACAAGGTAGTCACCCAGGAAGCATAGATATTATCTCTTCGCAAGTATAACTATATCCGTTGGGTGGGGATGAACAGTGGGCTTCCACGTGTACCACCCCCCGTAAGAAGTCAATGTACTAAATAAAAATAAGTGAAAAATAAAAAGTGAAGGCTTTGACACGAGCCATGACCTGACTCAGCGGGGTGGTAGCATGTTGCATATATGGTGGGTTTTTCGTATACTGCTACCTTCGTGGTCAGCCTCACCCTCTATTTCAGGTGTTTGCCCAGTCAATTATGTGTGAGTATCTCACATGCCTTGAGAACTTGATCGATTTTCTAATTCAGTGGGCTGGCAAGGCTTTTTGCGCGTTGTTTCAATGAACCTTTAATCGATGATGCTATCCCGACCCTGGCGGTAATAGGCCCCTGGCTTCGATGGGAAGAATCCAATTCAAATAACACACATGGATACGCGTGAGATTCATACAGGGGCGATACCATTGGGGTCCGGTGAGATTCAGCAAGAGTCATGCGGGGGGCCATAGCCTTTGATTCGAGAGATTTTTACGGTGGCGTCCCATGGGGCTTGCTTTGATTACCGCATTCAACACAATATTAATACCACGTTTCGATTAACATTGTTGAAGCAATTTTATGAAGCTTTTGGTGAGTTGAAACTGTGGTCTTTAGCTGATTGAAAAAGATAGGTGGAGTTTGAGTATAGAATGGAAGTTTTGATAACTAAGATGCACCTGGGCACCGGCAGAAAGTTACCTAATCAGGGGGTCACCCTTGGAATGGATGGAACGCGATTGCCATCAATGGCCCTAGATCAGTGGGTGATATGAGCTATGTACAATTAGTATTAAATTCCAGGCGCTACCTAGGTAGCTGACCCACCATCTCCCATGTCTCTCTCTCGCATTTTATTTAACCAGGTATGTCGCCCCCGTGGAACTGATCAGATGGACCTCGTCCTGATAACCAACAGGGTCATTATCTCTGATCATGTCACAGTTGACATCCCCCACATGTGCTCCTGTGGATTCAATCCTGGCATGTGTGCACTGCGCTAGGTCAAAAGCCAAGTGCGACAGAAAGGTACAAGGGTCAACTTTTCGGGATATCAATGAGTCCATGCTAAGATGCGGGGAATTAGGTACCATGCTCGCGATGCAGGGTGAAGAAGCTTTCCTGCCAAACTCGAGTCCCACAGCGAGGCCAAGGTCGACCGTCCGCGAATACTAAATCTAAACCGCTGCCACCCACCAACACCAACGAGAACTCCTATACAGTCGAGTCCGAGCCAGTCACGTCTACCACCGATGCAGGTCCTAAGACAACCCCACAATACCAGCCTACGGGAAATGGGCTATATATGGACTGGTCTCATTCAGCCATCCATAAGTGGGCTAGGAATCGCCCCGGGAGCACGTCGGAAGCGGAGCAAGCGGACTTTTTGGCGCGATTCTTAGCAGCTGCACCTGGCGTAGACGAAAGCTATCCCCCCATCTCTCTCTCTCTTCGCATCCTATGCCGGGGATATTCGGGACAGCTGACGATTTCGATTTCATCGTTCCAACGAGAGTGCCGTCACCAGCAGCCCATTTACCTGACCTTAGCGGGACACCTTCATGGAATCTCGCGTTTTCTATCTCCCCGGGCATGTTGGCAAGGTCGACAAATGAGGATGGAGATGATCTCATGGATGACTGCCTTCCGGCATCATCTTTATTCCCCTCTCAGGAGGGTAGTCTACCCGATGATGACCAGTTGCATATGTTGGAAGGCTGGCCACTTTTTCAATGCAACCCAATTACGCCGTCATCTGCGTGCGCACCCACAGCCGCAAACCACGTCAAAAATCTAGATTCCCTGCTCAGGGGTGGCAATATATCGATACAGCTGTGCCACGCAGTTGATTCACACATCGCTGTTGAATCTCTTCTAGTCAGCACGAGAGAAAATCTGATCGCTGTTTTGCAGTGGCTTTGCACTGAAGCTCAAGAACTATATGGACTGCGAGGTCAAAACAACGGAATTTCTGGATGTTCCGTACCATCTATTATGATGTTGCCTTCTCCGACCGCGTTAGACAGCCTTTTGAAGGCCTACCTCGCCAGCTACGAACCATATTATCCCTTTATACCTACAATGTCACTGAATGAGCGCATGGAAGGTAGATGTATTAACTTGCCAAGCATGCGAATATTTCTCATGCTCGCCGGCGGCGGCATGACGGCTGGAGCTGGCGAGGCATGCGTGGAAATGGCGCATGGGCTGCTCGAGATATGCCGCATCTCATTAAGAAACCTCACCGAACGAAATCTCATTTTGGCTTTAGATCACGAGTTCTCGCAATGCGCTCTTCTGAATCTTCTTGTTTCCGCGTGGAGTGGCGACAAGTGGCAGATGGATGTAAGCTTTTTGGCGGGATCAGCCCCTGTGAGAGAATCTGCCATCCATTAACTGGTTTATAGACTGCATACTATCAGAGATCAATGTTCTTAGAGGCAAGGCGATTCCAGTCCGTTTGAAGTTACCCTTCTAATTACTCTTCAGATACATCTGAAAGCAAAGCAACATGACGATAGACAAGCCCAGGTGGCCCGCATAGAATCCTTTGAGGATGTCGCCCAGTCCTGGGAGACGTGGAAAGAACAAGAGATGGCAAACAGGTAAATTATCTTTGTCGGCGCTAAATAATAAAGCGATAAATTAACGAGGAGTTAGAACCACGCATGCCTGGCTAATCCTGGATCACGAGATATGTCTCTTCCAAGATGCCCCATCTATCTCATTTTTCCCCTCCGCTAGCCTCAACATACCTATTCCAAGCAGGGATGCCGCATGGCGGGCCCAATCCGCCAAGCATTGGATTGAACAAATGCCATTGCCTTCGGGTCAAGTCACCATCCCCCCTTCTCTCGGTGAATGGATAGTCTGGTTCTCAGAAACGAACTATTTTAGCGCCACGGTACACATTTCCCCTATCACGCTGCGACTCTTGCTCTGTCATCTTCAGACTCAAGTATTTCAACTGCGATCTACCATGGGCACTGTTGCTGGCAGAGGCAGTACTCCCAAAGGACCCCAGCACATGTCGATTGTTCTCCTTTCGGTGCAAGTGCAAACCATTCAAGAACTTCTCCACAAGTGGTACGAGCTGGCCAAGATCCAGCCAAATGAGACGGCCACGCTAGCAACTGCTTCCAACATGATGCTCTATCATCTGATCATGCTCAATATGATTATGAGCTTCCCGGAGATAGAACGTGTAGCACGCAGCGGTCGCAATAGCGAAGGGGCTAGCAGAAAGCCTTCGCACACGAAACACGCCTATCACTTGGAGAATCCACGACAGATATATTTTCATTGTGGCCAAGTGTTGCGCCATATCCGTTCCGTACCAGAGCCTGCTCGTCCATCCTGGTGGGCTGGTGCCGTGTATCGAGTAGCGCTGATCACCTGGGCAAATGGCATGGTCTGTGCCAACGGGGACGATGCCCAAAATCGGAGAAACATTAGCACACAAACTACGGTGGCCCTGGATATGCTTACCCCGGATCACGCATCTATCGTGAGCTATCTGAATAATGAAGCCGTGATCCCTGTATATGCCAACTTGAATGGCGCGAAAGTGCCCCTCGACAACTCCGTCGGCATTCTACAACATTTTGCTCGTTTCCTTCACACGGACATCAAGACCAAGTTCACGTTCGGGGTTCAACGAAAGTTATTGACAATGGCGCGCCGGTGGGAGAGTGGGGCTACACAAAATTCATCATTCGCGGTTTGAATTGCCTTTTCCTTTCACATGGCGCGTATTGAACGACATATCTTAAATGCAGCTGCCAGGCTGTATTTATTCTATACATACGTCCACTAACACAGATGGATTTATCCTTGAGCATTTCCAGGAGAACGTTGGAAACGAGTTATGAAATGCCACTCATCTATAAGTGGAGGATATCAATGAATGATAACTATTTATACTATCTATACCATCCAATTCGCAGGACTAGTAGACAGACAAATTGCAGCACCTGTTGGTGTATGGGATCATGTGACCCCACTCCATATATGTTCGTGCTATGTCCGTTTGTATAGTCAAGGCATAACTTCCTTACTCCCTTTCCTTCATTTCATAACACGTAATCCAGACCGTCTGGTCCTTTCCAGTCTTACACGAGGTGGTCCTGTATCCCAGTAAACAGGCGAACCACTGTCAACACCGATTATGGTCGGACACAGTGGTGGCGTTTTCCAGAGGAAAGTAAGATGGCGTCGTGCTGGCAGCGTTAGCTCTGATCCTTCGGGGATACCGTATCTTGACTTTGAAAGATTCAATCTCGTGTTTTCAGTCGACTGTTAAACCTAAAGAGACTCGGATGGAAGCGCGGCGCTTTCTGTTAAATTAACTTACAAATAAAATGCTTTTTTGTTATTGGCCGAATAAATGGGGCCGAGCAGGGATCGGACTCGCGGAACGGACGGGTAAGCATGCTTAATTCCTTCGGTCGGTCTAATCTTCAACCGAGTCCGGAGGTCCATTATGTCTTTTCTTTTTCTACATTTGCAGAGTAAATCGGACATTGAGACCTGGTAATCAAGCCGAATCGGTTTATTTTCTATCCGACTCCGTACAGGGATCGGGTAGGAAATTCAGGTCCTGACATTCCTTATCCACTAGAGATTTGTCGGATGTTTTAGTTGTCGTGCGGTAAATCAATACATAGTGGATCGTGAATACCTGGTGGATACAAGCACGGTCTACACCCGTAGCCCCACACCCCTGTGATTATATAATATTCTGCCAGCCAAAAAAAAAAGCACATATTATAATTATCTTTGATAATAATAGCATATATTAAAAGCATTGGTTTTAAAGGTCTCGGAATGAAGTATACACCATTTTGTTCATGAAAAATCAGCTTTACATGCTATCTTATGGTAATCCTATTCATGGATACTACGCGTTTTAGGTGGGCGGTAGATCTATAGTGGCGGTGAACTAGGTGGGCTTATAGGTGTAAAACATATGTTCACTGACTATACTATTCAACTAGCAGTAGTAACGCTAGGGCTAGTAAATACTAGTAATACAAATTTATTTCCACTTAAGAGCTCATTCCAACACTAGGCAGCTCTATGATAAGCAGAATAAGCAAATTTGAGGCTAATTCCAAGGTACACATGCTCACATGCTATTGACCAGGGGCCCGCGTGGCATTATGTCAGGGCGTAATGGGGCTGAAGTCAACAACCAATTGTAAGCCAGTTAGACTAGTTTGGCGTTCTCGCTAATTCCTTATACGGAACAATTTTCGAGATTTTGAGTCAGATCGGTGCCTTGGATACGGTCCGATTGACCCAGGAGATGATGGATCGATACCAGGAGCTCCGCTTCGGACGAGGCTTCGGTGTAGTTTTCACAGTAAGTTGAACTGTATGCTGCTTAGATACGTGTTTGGCAGGGCAGGAAATGGGTATATGTTTGGCCTCTTCCTCTCGTTATTTTTTATGACAAGCTCAACTTGAGAAACTAAACATCCTTCATCGCCACGATGCGCGGTTTCTTTTTGTCCTTAGAATTAGCAACTGTGCTGACAATTGCAATGGCTCTTGATTCTTCTTTTGTTATTGAGCAGCGATCGAGTGCTTCGTCCCGTCTGACACCTGCAACTATCAGCACTGAGTTGGGTCCAAAGTTGTCTGCCAATTCTTCAATCTTTGCTCAAAACGATCCGCGATGGTTCAATGCAACGGAGCGCTGGCAGGCATATTATCAGCCTGATTTCCTTGCCGTGGTTGAGCCTTCGAAGGAGTCAGACATTCCCATCATCGTATGTTGCTACTTATTTTGCTGAAAGATTGACTTGGTTAAACGATTTCGCTGCAGGTCAAATTTGCCAACTCACACGGAATCCCTTTTCTCGCTGTCAACAGAGGCCATGGCTCTACCAAGACTCTGGGTAGATTGAAAAATGGTATTGAGATCTCGATGGCCCAACTCACTGACATTAAGATCGCCGACGATGAAGCCTCTGCTTTCTTTGGTGGAGGTGTATGGGACGGGCAAGTCATCGATTCCCTGTGGGAGGAAGGCTTCGTTACCGGTATTTTTGAGCACCTCCGTTATTAATGCTGGTCTAATGATTATAGGAACGGGAAGTTGCGCTTGTGTGGGCGTTATGGGCCCTGGACTTGGCGGAGGCCATGGTCGTTACCAAGGATTCTACGGGTTGATCATTGACGGATTGATTTCCATGAATGTTGTTCTGGCTGATGGGTCCGCCATAACTGTTTCTAACACCTCATACCCTGATCTCTGGTGGGCGATGCGTGGGGCCGGCCACAACTTTGGCATCGTGACTAGTTTCCATGCTGAGATCCACAAACGCACTGTTGATGAATGGTACATTAGCGAATTTGTCTTCACCCAGGATCAGCTTGAGTCGGCTTTCGAGGTTCTCAACTCCCAGCAACAAAATGGCGGCCAGCCGAAGGAGTTGATGAACTATGGTGTCTTCACTTGGAGTTCTGAATTCAGTACGACAGAGGTGAGCGTTGAGTTATCCCATTCATGTTCGATACTAATGAACCTCTACAGCCTATTATGGAGGTTTTTATCCATTATATCGGCACAGCTGAAGAGGCAGCACCATATCTGAAGCCATTCCAAGACTTGAACCCTCTATACTCAAGCGGCGAATACTACGCCTATCCAGATGTGCTCGATGCAACCGGCACTGGCATGAACAGCCCAATGTGTCAAGACGGACACACCAATATGCAGTTCCCCTTTGGCTTGCTTGAGCACAACATTAGTGCCACTCGTCAGATTTACGACTACTACAGAGAAATCACCACTTCACAGCCATTGTACAACCAGTCCATCGTCGTCTTCGAGGCTTATTCGCTTGATGGCGTGAAGGCTGTCGACTCAGCTTCTACTGCCTTCCCTCATCGTGAAGACAATATCCTATGGTACGCATCTTCCCTTAACTCCAAACTCTGATTCGTTCAGCTCACCCTTATAGTGATGTTCTTGTTACCTACGACCCCGATAGTTCCCTTGATGCAGAAGCAATCGCCATCGGAAAGCATATCACGCAGCTCTGGGCCGATGGTCAGCCTCACCGGAAACAGCACATTTATGTCAACTATGCCTTCGGTGATGAACCTCTGGAACAGATGTATGGAGATGAGCCGTGGCGGTTGAAGAAGTTGCGTGCTACCAAGGCTAAGTACGATCCACACAATGCCTTCCGGTTCTATAACCCTATTATCTGAGAGAAGCGCGAAGTTTGTCTGCGAGGCGTTTCTGGAGCGCTATGGGCGCAAATCTTAGCATAGGCACCACTTAGATGAGGATAGTTAGGTTTATATACGGATAATAAACACAGACCTGTACTGAGTGCAGCTAACCCCGTCAACAATCAGACCACACCATGGGTTATCGATACGCGCTAACAAACTTCCCTGCCTGTTTCATATATGTATTCGGTCTGGATGGCCAACAGTCCGGTGTCTTGCAGCTTGCGAGTTGCAGGACGACGATATTACGTTGTCAAAGAGTGTCAAAGAGTAGCTTCGCAAATGTCATCTGATCCTTTATTCTGAATGATTCTAAGGTGTTGTAAGTCTCCCACAGTATCAAGGGCTATCAGTAGCGGAAAGGCACTACAATCGTCTTATTGAAAGCACTAGTTCAGCGACAGATACATGCATACTAGGGTAGCTGGGCATCATGAACAACTCAATAATACAATCCCATATGCGAAAGGCCATTCGACTGTCAAAGGAGCGATGTACGGAGATCCACATTGGTTACCAGGTCCAGTCCGAGCTATCAGTATGCCAATCTGGCCTGTCAGATGGCTTTGCCAATCCCCATAACACGTAGGTCTCGTCTGAGAACGGCTCAGTGTCCATTGGATAGGCCCCTCGCAATCCGGAAATGTGCCTAAAAGTGATTAGCTCATCGCCATCGACATTCATAGATTGGTCAGGTGAATGGAATGTCGGAACTACCTACATAACCTTGGTGACATCATCGTAAATAATCTTGCTCGGAGGGGTAAGTCCAGGTTGCCAAGAACACCTACTGAGTTATCTTCGTTGTATTAGTATAGATAGTTCTCGAAGTTTTGGACGTGTAGGGGTTAAGATCTTACTCATAGGCAGTACGAAAGGCGGAACGCAGTCGCTGGCGGTATTCAAAGTCGCGTTTCCAGAAGGTATAGTAGTCCACGGGCTCACCTTCACCAGGCACCCGTTCCCACGCAACGTAGTTGATGTAACCACCCGGCACAAATTCTTCGACACCTTGCAACTCTTCCCCATAGCCAAGCAATTTCGGTACTGCCATGCAGTTTTCGCGATCAAGAGATGCAAGCGCTTTGAGCTCCGTGTGGGTGCACTGGCTGACAGCCTGCTGGGCTCGGACTTCTGGAGCGCTAGAAAAGGTACCATCAAGAGGGATCTGCATATAGATCCGCATGAAGCCCTGCTGAGTAGGGTCTAGAAGGCTGTGACAAGAGAACTTAATGACGACAAACGGAGGCCCCAGTTGTCGCTCATATTCCTCCTGGGTCATCGTTTGGTAATCCTCGGATATTTTCTCGTCAAGAACGAACGTACGAAGGGGCGAGAGGGAAGGCTGGTCGAGTTTGATCTCAGTGCCGCCCAGGTGATCGAAGTTTATCGAGGGGATCGTTACGACGAAGTCCCTAGAGCGAGACATTGCGACAAGGGAAAGGAGACGAAAGGTTGAGTAGCTTCAAGATTCAGAAGAAATGAAACCGCTCTGGTGAAGTTGATAAACAAGCGGGTTGTAAAATTCAAGTGTTGAGCAGAGAGAAAAGAAGGGCGTGGAGGTGATAAAGAAGTGTTACGGATTATTGCCTAATGTCTTAGGTGTTAACCGTGGAACAATAACATCCATGGATAACCTTCAAAATTTCTCCAGCTCCAACCTATCAAGCCCACAAACGTTTTGGATGCAACACCCAACTTTTATCAACCAACCGGACCGGAGTCAACTTGATCAACATGCCTTCACAACACTCCGGCGCTGATCTACTCCTACGGGGTCCATCGCGGTTAGTGAGGTCTCCATTCGTCCACGGGTACCTAGGTAGGCAGCCCTGGAGGGCACCGGTTGTTGTTTTGTGCCAAGGTGACACCTTGAATATCTGCGAGGTATGCCTATCTCCGGCACAATGGTGACAATAAGTCACAATCCTGAGGTTATTCGCACTACCTGAATAGGAAAGTCCAGGGCTTCGCGGGAGGTGAAGTTGTATAGTAGCCTACTTACTAGTGAAATAATTTAGCTTCCTACTTAGTTAATCTTAAAAATAGTCTTTTATTATAATAAATACTAAGTTACTAACTCTGAAGTCCTCTTCTTGTCGATACTTATTTATTTAATAAATCTATAATTACTATAACTTTATAATTTATTCTTTAATCTAGATCTAGATCTTTTAGAGCTTGGAGAGTATTTATATTATATCTTATTTATTAGATATTATAGTCTCTTAATTTTTCTTATTAAGTATTATCATAGATTTGTAGTCCCTTTTTATAAAGAAAGATAACTTCTTTATTATATTTTATAGAAGAATCAAAGCTATAAAATTAACTATTAGTAGAATTTCTAACTAGTTATCCTAATTTTATTCGATATATAACGTATTTCACTAGTAAGTAGGCTACTACTAGCGAGTAGGCTACCTATAATACTATAGTAAATACTATATTTTATAGCACACTTAAATTTCTTTTTCTATACCGTACATATTTCGAGGCAAGCATCTGACACAGACACTCAGCCTCCAGAGTGTCAAAGCCTATCGGTAGGTAATTGTTGGTATCACCAGATAGGTACTGTGTGCACAGTTAAGTGGACAGTGTTTATGATTCCAAAGCAAAAAGTCAATTGATTCAAGTAGATAGATGTGTGTTCCTTCCAGGTCTAGTTCCAATAACCCTGAATCCTCATCTTGGGGGCTCGCAAGATGGCAGGCCAACAGAATCAAAGAGGCCCATTCAGATATGATCGCTGATACTAGTGGCAGCGGGATGTACGCGTGGGTCGAACCCAAGGTTTCTGACTGGAACTGAATAGCCATGTTTGTTGAGGGACTGATTCGTAACAGCGTGCCGTGTTTTGAGAAGGTCAATTCTTAAAAAGTACTAGACAACACACTCGACAAAATCGCTTTGCATTAAATAGGGAGCTGGCCATATTATGCCACGTCAGCTCAGTGCCTATGGGCCTCAGCAGCTCAGCCTCACTGCGCGAAATGAAAGCCAATAAAAATGGGCCAACTGTCAAGATACAAATTACAACTTCTGAAGTCCACGATTTATTTCTTATAAGTCTTATAAAGACCCTACGACGACCTAATGCTGTTCTCTTTTCTTGAGTTATGTTACGAATACCCTACATCCTGAGTCACGCATCTGCACCGACTTGCTTAGGACTGCTGATCATTTCCCATTTTGCGAACATACTAGCAGGCTGAAAAATGAGCGAGGACGACGAACATCCCCTTCAAGAGGAGCTCAACAATGCAGCTTCCCTCGGTGATCTCGAATGCATGAAAACCCTTTTGAGCACGACAGATGTTAATATTAATGGCGGAACTGGAACTCCCTACCGCACGGCTCTTCACGAAGCCGTTACAAATGGGCGAGACCAAGTGGTCCAACTTCTCCTGGACTGGAATGCAGAGATCGAGGTCAAAGACCACTCCGGCTCAACTCCACTCCATTGTGCGGTGAAGTACAATCGCAGCAAAAATCTTATCAGGATGCTTTTAGATCATGGGGCCAACGTTAATGCGGACAATTATCGCGGAAGTGTTCTGCGAGAAGCCTGCTGGCGGTCCTACCAGGAAGCCATTTACCTACTACTGGACTATGGGGCCGATGTCAACTCCCCTAACCAGCCCAGACAAAGTGCACTGCAAGCTGCGACAAATTATGCACATGAAGATATCGTACACATGCTACTGAAAAAGGGCGCGGAAGTTAGTTTCAGGAGTAGCGATTGCGAAAGCGCCTTGATGCTAGCCGTCAACAGGGTTGATACATCCAAAATCTGCCTACTTCTTCAGTACGGCGCGAAAATCGATGGCAGAATTTTGGATATGGCAGTGATAAGAAGGCACGAGAAGACCCTGCATACACTTTTAGAAGCATCCCCTTCTGCCTTTGATGTGGACTGTAATTATGAACTTGCGTTGGAAACGATTGCAGCTGCTTTGAAGAAGACCACGCCCCCGGCGCTCGAAAACAACAGCTTTGGCTGTACTGTGGCTCAGGTACGGTCTGTTTGGGAGGATGGGTTAGGCGCATATAAATATCCTTGGGGTGAGGATTTTCTAGTTGACCGATGGAGATCTGGGTCACCGGACGAGAGAGCTAGGATTGCTCACAAGTTCGGTATAGACCTCATCAAGCGAGCTTCAAGCCCAAAGTCTCATTTTGAGAAGCTGAATGAGAGGATATCAAGGGGACTGTTGTCTGGGTTTCAGGCTCTTCCTATGAAGGGGGAACTGGATGACAACGACATTATCAACCGAGCTTGCAAACTCTTGTCTCAGCTACCATCGACTTCACCGCCTCTATTTTCCATAAAGCTAGCACAGGATACAATCTCAAGCGAAGTTTTTGACAAATATTTCTTCGTGGATACGAGAATCAATTCAACGCCGCACTGGGATGATTTGAGGGTGACGAGTCTGACGAGCGCGCTCGTGGTTCAAGTGGCGCTGCGCGTTTCGTGGGCAGAGGCTAGACAGGCTAGAGGACAAGATAATCCCTTTCTCTGTACCCAAGGAGTAGGTTGGTCTCACGTGCTCCAGATTCTCGGAGAAATACTGAATAAATTATTCGAAATGCCATTGCTGAAAGCATCCCAATTCGACAAAGACGCATGCTTTATCGCCAAATCATTCATTTGGACGGCGTGGCAGCAAATAAGACTCCTCCTTGGCAGCCACCAATTCAAACTTCAGTTGAAAAAAGGACTAAATTTTGAATCTGGTATAGGCACAGCCCTGAAAGAAGTTTTCTTATCATCAAAGGTGATTGATTCAGTGAGCCTCGCCCAGCAAACGCCACCTTACATGTGCAAATGGGCGTATCGAGTGATATCCACGACAAACTCACCTGCAATATTGGATCTGCGCAGGCTCATCTTACGCTATACTGATCTTTGGGGGAAACAAATGCCGCGCTGCAATGATAACTATTGCTGCTCTGGAGATTCTTCGGATGAGTGCTCGAGGTTCAAAGGAGCCGTTATAGCTGACCAGAGTGCTCATGATTTGAGCCACGAGACTGTGGGGTCTTGCTATCGAATTTATTGGGATAAATCCTCCTACCAAAATATTGGCGGAAGAGCGAGTGTCCGAGTTGATAGCGATATATCAAAGGGAAAGCATGCAATCTACTGTGACGCAAGCGAGAGAACTCTGGCTATCTCACATGTATGGGCTCATGGGCAAGGAGGGCGGCCAGAGACAGGGATTAATTGCTGTCTTCATCGTCGGTACTGTGCCATTGCGCAAAGCCTGGATTGTGACTCATACTGGATTGACACAATGTGTAAGATATGTCTATGTTTCTAAGGCTCCTCATTTGCTAACGATCCATTGAACCTTAGGTATTCCCGATGATCATTTGCTTCGTGGCAAGGCAATCATGTCCATCAACTCCATCTTTCAGTGCAGCAAAGCATGTCTAGTATGCGATAGAGACGTAATGGAAATCGATATTTCAGGCCTCGGGAACCACACGTTTTCAATCGCAGCACAAATTCGGCTTCGAGAATCGATCCTATCTACCATCATCTTTTCAGACTGGAATGTTCGGGCATGGACCTTTCTCGAAGCCATGCAAAGCCGAGAAAAGATCATGTTCCTTTGCAAACACAATAGAATCTTCTCTGTGCGTGAAAATGTCGAAATTGTTATGACCGAGGGTAGCCTTGACATCGGCACTGCCTTCCTGACAACACCACATTTGCTGCCACAGTCACTGGTGGAGTTGGTGCAACCGACTGAGGAGGAAGAGGAAGAGAAAAACAGCTGGTTGGATTTCTTTGACAAACATGACTCCCGCTCAGATGATGAGCCTGAAGATAACAGCACGCTCGAAACGGCGGCTTTCTGTCTCCAACATCGACCTGCGTCACGGGAAGGAGATGCATTCATTATCTGGACAATTCTTGCCGATGCGCCAACTCTTCGCTCACCCGAAGACTTCTGGAGAAGTAAAAAGGGCACATTCCTATCAACAGGGTTTCTGATGTCTGAAGTATCTCGCCTGAAGACAAAGGGATTAAGCTGGGCCCCCTCCGATCCCATCGCATGCAAAATACCCAGCCTGCTCAACGGAGATAGCAGCCAGCACCGCGAGGCTAATATGATGCCAACAGAGAAAGGTGAGATTAGAGATGAAGGATTTTCTGCATTTTGGCAAGTCTTTTACTTGGAACCGTCGGCTCGCAAAAATTGTGAGTCTCTTTCGGAAGATGCAGCTTTTGCAGGAGACATTGGGGAGGCAGTTCGCTCCCATTTCTCGACTCGAAATAAAATAGCTTTATTACGGCCGGCTCTCCAGACCACATGGCGTGCTTCTGGAGGTAAAATTGTAGCTGATATTAAGAGATTGGCGTTACCTATTGTGGCTGTCTGTGAGTATTGCCCGGACGATAATGGGTGGAAATGGCTGGGCGTCCGGACATTAGATCCGGACGGCTACTTGCCCGATTTTCTGTATGAAAACATTTTGTTGGTTTAGTTTACTATATTTGTCAGGACTAGGCTGCCAGGAGCAATATAGCTTCCAAAATAAGAAACGTGGATTCTGATTGTGTCTCAAGCTTTCAACAACTCTTTTGGTTCCTGATTCAATGACACTTGCTATTCCTCAAACGTACTTAGTTTTCGAAAAGCCCCCAGATGACATTTCATCTATTTTCTACTTCATCTTCACATCCAGCGGAAAAAGGCATTTTCCAAAGGCGGCATTTTGTTAAGTACAAGTTGAAAATCCATATCCCGCATCACGATTTTCAAATTCTACGTTGCATAGTCTCCCATCAATTTTTGACGTCCTTCATGCCTTCAAACTCCTCAGAATCAACATTATCAGGCGAATTTGAATAGAGTTACGATATCCCTAGTTCGTTCCTCATAAAGGGCGAAGTTTGCTAGCAGCCCCACGGTAGAGTGATAGGTAACATAGCGCAGTCCACCCCGTTCTGGAAGCGAAACGACAAATTTCAGCATGACAAAGAAAAAGGTTGTATAATTGTATTTAGGGTCAGTGCTTGATTTAACGTTGACTCGGTAGTTGGGATTTACCTAACCTAATCGTTCCCGAAGGCTAATACAAATGGTAGGGAACTTTCCTAAATAAAAGGAATTCTAGGAAAGTCTGGTAGGACCCTATTATCTCACAGATAGACCTCTGCATAGCCCATGAATAGGCCCAGACCCCCGGCTCAACCTACAGCCCATTAATAGGGGCCCATCAAAGCCTATCAAAAGCCCATTTCTACGCATAAATATAGTCTTAGCATATATAAAGTAGATGATTAATGACTGTATTTTACGTAGGTACCAACCTATATATTTAGTATTATTATATTATTATAGTAAGAAGTAGGAATTAAGTGGATTTTGTAATGTGTCACCGTCCTCCTGGATGAACGGCTCCGCAAAGCGATGATATATCCCCGCGCCCCCGCTCCCTACTACAAAACCATCTTCACCATCTTCACCATCCGCAAAAATATCATCAAATACTGCATGCCCCCGCGCCCGGCCTTTCTCCGCTACACCTTCAAGAAAACAAATCCCAAACCGGCCGGATCAATTTCACGCGCTTTGATGCTGAACCCTGGTACGTCGAGCCCACATTACTGAATCGCTGGGGTCTAGCGGCCTGGGTACAGAGGCCGCAGGGTCTGCCGTTGCCTGGGAATGGTTTCCAACCCGAGGGGTATGTGACGAGGGATGTGGGACCTGAGCGATGGGTGAGCAAGGGCGATGTGGAGTTTGAAGCGTCAATGGCGAAGTTGATGGCGGAAGGAAGAGGCCGGTGCCCTTTTGCCAAGCTGTGATGATTTTCCTTTGACACACGATGCTTCGCCATGCGTCGGACTGAATGATTGAGCGAGCGAGGTTGCAAGACACTCTGATAGGTCAGGGCTACGCTTGGGCGAAACGCGAATTTGGACGGGCCCGGAAACTGCATTCTAATCTACCCCACCTTTGCGATCCACATACAGTAGAGTCTCTCTATAGCGGAGAGTCGAATAACGAAGCTATAACAGTCATTTCTAGCCACACCTGACTCTGCCGCTAAGCAGGGTCCAAGGGTGGGGCACGGACCCACACGAAGTCACCGACTAATAGCCGCAGTCAACGGTCACAACTTAGAGGCGTATACAATCGAGAAAATTACCGTAATTACAGGTTGCGGCACCGGGTGACACCTGCGGAAACTGTTTGTGGCCCTACCGGATTTGCAAATACTGTAAGAACCAGTACTGCTTTCGATAACTGGGAGCAGGCCATTCCGGAGGGGTGAGACCGGGAGCCGGAACACCAAAATCAGGCCACAGACGGGCCGGGAGCTATCCGAGCCTCACATAGTACTCTCCAGATCCTTTCTTTGTTTACTCCCCTTTCCACGAAATAGTTTTCTCCTTCTCTCAGCCTCTGCTTTTTCTCTCTTATTCAAGACCTGGTAGGAACCACAATGTCTGTATCTCCCACTTTTTTGCACCCCTGGGTGGATGAATTATACTGTTTTGTGGAATTTGTCGCATATTGACACTTTTTCTCCTAGGAATTCTACCGTGCTGCCCCCCGGCACCTATTGGGGCCAATATCAGGATATCACCAAATCCAATACCCACCTGAGCGTGGCAGAGAGATTGTGGGTCGCATGGTATGCGTGGGTGCAGAATGATGTCCTGGCCACCGGCATCATGTCCTTCGTCATCCACGAGTTGTTCTACTTCGGCCGCTCTCTTCCGTGGATCTTCATCGACAGCTTGGGTTCCTTCAACAGATACAAGATTCAAAGTGTGAGTGGCAAGCCTAACACCTGGCACTAGCTGAAATCAACCCAATTCCAGCCGCCATCGAAACTAACATTCTGCTTCAGAGCAAAGTACCTTCATTACGAGAGCAATGGGATTGCGCCAAGTTTGTGCTTCTGAGCCACTTCACCGTCGAACTTCCTCAAATATGGTATGTTCCTGCCGTCGACGGAATGGTATTCTACCCGACGTTTGCCTCTCGGGCCCGATTGAGTAATAACGGCTCTTCTAGGCTTTTCCACCCAATGGCCCAGTTCTTCGGTCTATCAACATCGATTCCTTTTCCGTCTCCCTGGACTATGACATATCAGATTGCGATATTTTTCGTGATGGAGGACACTTGGCACTATTTTTGCCACCGAGCTCTTCATTGGGGTCCACTCTACAAGGCTATTCACAAAGTTCACCATCAGTATTCTGCACCATTTGGTTTGGCCGCCGAATATGCTTCTCCTATTGAAGTGATGATTCTCGGCTTCGGGACCGTCAGCTCCCCGATCCTCTGGTGTGCTTTCACCGGTAACCTGCATATCCTCACCATGTACATCTGGATTGTGTTGCGCTTGTTTCAGGCTGTCGATGCCCACAGTGGCTACGAATTTCCTTGGAGTCTTCACCATTTCCTGCCTTTCTGGGCTGGTGCTGATCATCACGACCTCCACCATGAGAAATTCATCGGGAACTACTCAAGCAGCTTCCGCTGGTGGGACTACCTCCTTGACACCGACTACACTCCGGATGCCCTGAAGCGCCGAAGAGAGAAAAAGGTGAAGGCAAAGAAGACACAATGATCTGAACGTTAGCAGTGACGGTCTCCCTATTTTCTCTTCAATTTGGGCGTTGGCTCTGTCTGGAGCTATTTACCTGATAGATGATAGGCTTTCTTATGGTACCCAGTACGTTGTGACCCCATACCCGCAAGGGGTATGGGGTCACCATCTAATTAAATTTACCATGTAATTGAATTTCTTTCGACGTAGCAAATACTTTTTGGATTTTCTCAACAACCACTACCCCAATACTTACACAAAAAAAGCCAAAAATACTACCAGATTAATATCTGCAAGTGGATCCAAATTTAACCTGATTGGACCAAGCGTAGGCGTAGGATCAATCAATCAAAGTTCAATTAACCCGTTGCAGTTTAACTAGTTGCGTATGACTATGCAGGCGCTTCATCCAACTGAAGCAAGAACTCGAAGCCAAACGCCAAGTGGGATCACTCCCAGGGTATACAGATGCTGATCGTAAAGAGTGCGGAATCAGCCCATTCCTGTAACCCATAAACCCTTGAATCCAAACCCATATAACTCGTACATAAGAAATTAACATATAGTGATAGTTGTGGAGTGCACCCTCCACCTTCCAACCTTCACCTCTCTCTCTCTCTCTCTTTCTCCGCAACCTCCCCTGCCTCAGTTTCAATTGATGGTGATGTTGTCCTGGCCATTCAGCTGGCATGCTTGTCGACTCTGGCTGAGTCCTCGTTTCACAGCATCATTTGTCGTCATTGGCTAATACCCATCGTCTTCCACAACTAGCTCCATTGCCGCGAGGCCTGTCGGTTCGTCGTCGTCCTCCTCGATCCCAACGTGTTGAAACTGCTGCAGGAGACCTGTTCGGTGCATAAAGTTGACCACGTAGCGGATGGCCTGCGGGTTGCTGCTTGATGCAACCGTAGAGATTATTTGCTTGCCCATTCCAGGTATCTCCGGGATAATGTTTCTCAACATCAGCCCAGGAGTCTGTCAAGTACACTTCTCCAGTATCGGGATTTATATTCGCAAAGGCATAGAGCACATGTGTCAGCTTGTCAGCGGGAAGGTCACTCGGATTGAAGTGACGGCCATAGACTGCCTAATATATTTTTTTAGTCATACTCTGAGGGCAGGGGACCTGTGCAGCGAGGGAAACCAGGAGAACCATCTATCTTCATTGACCCAGTTGACGAAATATACCATAGATAGATATCCTTTTACGACACGAGGTCCGAGTACTGATTTGTCTATTCTCTTAGAGAGTAGCTCATCTGTAGCTCCCACAGACCAGGTCTACAGTAAAACAAGCCAAAGGAGAGATATCATCATGATGAAAATTCCGTTCTGTTGTGCTAAATTGGCATCTCTAAGTCTAGGGGAATGATCAAGGAAGGTTAGAATGCGACGTAGGTAGGAAATTATCGGAGATATATATAGTATATTCTACAACTACAACCACATATTATTAGTCCGAATACCGTAGCTTAGGATAAACGGAACCAGTTATCTTATTTAAGGTTGGGATTGTAAAACAGTGCACAGAAACCTCCCTGCAAATTTGAACTTCTTTGTTGTGACTTATTTTTGCAATACAGTACTAGCTCATCAATGTCGACCGACTATATCTTTTCCCAACTGCGACAACTAGGTGCGCTTTATGGCCAAACACGCACCGGGAGACATTATCTCATATTATATGTATCTAGGAATCCCAACCGTTTAAAATCTCCTACCAAAATTATTTAAGGACCCAATACTACGGGATTTGAAAGACTTCGAAGGGGCTATTCAAGTTCTTTCTCTATCTTTATGGACATATCACCCTATTGAATTTGACACGAATTCTCATTATCCCAAGAGTGGACTTCGTAACCTCATTTATTCACATCTACCATCCGTAGTGACCAGTCATTGTCTTACCCTTCCTCCAAGTCTCTGCTGTCGGTAATTACAATGACACAATCATCTGATAATCTGGAATTTGCTGCAACGGAGGTTAAGCTTGCTACTGCTTGAAAACTCGACAATCTCTCCCGCGGGATATTCATGACCTCAGAGTAAATCCAAGCTATGCGAATATTTTATAGATGGTGAAAGAGAAGCTTGTAATACTCATAAATGTATTTGAGAGATCAAAAGATTTACACTGCATAAACAAGGTAGGACCGGGCCGAAACGCCCGTGGACTCGGGATGAGTATTTTCCCCGTAATCACCCGTCATACATCATACATTCGTAAACTTGCTTTTCCTTAATGACCCCTAGTTCTATATAAGAAAGATATACGAGATCGGATACTTCACGGGACCCGATTTCTAGGTACCAATATCACGACAAACATGCTATGGAGATCTCTGATCTTCTGGCCCTACGAGACTCTGCGGTCATCGCAATTCTCGATATTTTCGGTATCGCTTATTTTTCTTTGTACACTCTACAATGTCTTCTGACAGAAAGCTGGTGTACGAACAATGTATGGTATAGATGAAATGTCGAAGACTCTAACTAACTAAAATGACATAACCCGCTATTTCAACAATCTGTGCGGACCATGATAACTAACTATAATATGCACTTTTGTATGGTATGCCTAGTACCAAATGTCATATGACGTTTCCGGTAGAATACCTGGTTTCTACCATGTATTCGGACTTGGTATTCGACACTATCTCCTACTTATTACTTTATTTATCTAGTATAACGATCGGTTACTTATTATAGTTCGTCGGGTTTCGTTTCGTTCCGGCTATCTTAATTAGCTAGAGGTTCGGTTTCGGTTTTAGATCGAGTTTTAGCTATACGATACTAAGGGACGGAAAGTAGGGTAAAGCGTAACCGAGACTAATTATAATAAATAGTCTATATAGCCGTACTACTTTATTAGAAATAAGAATAGTACTTAGTATTATATTACTAGCTAGATGGGAGCCTATCAAAGCCCATAAAAAGCCCATTTCTGTGCACAAATATAGTCTTAGAATACATAAAGTAGATGATTAATGACTGTATTTTACGTAGGTACCAACCTATATATTTAGTATTATTATATTATTATAGTAAGAAGTAGGAATTAAGTGGATTTTGTACTGATTTTAGCATTATGATACTAGATTTCATACAAAATTTTATATAAAATAATGCTAAAAAGATCCAATTCGACTATGAATTCGTACACAGAAGAATTACTAAGTATTAGTATAAAGAGATATATATTATCTATAGAGGATTGATACTACTTTCTATATAAGCCCCTAATAAAAATAAGTACCTCTTATAAAAAAAGTAAAGCTTTATAAAAATCAATTTTGATTCTTATTTTTCGGCCTCCTAGTATCTATTACTTAATATCTTATAAATAAAATCAAATCAATCAGTCCTATTAGTTAATTTATAAGTGATTCATATATAGCTTTATATACAGCTTAAATGGTAATTTCAATACCCCTAAAGAATAAAAAAAATGCATTAATTATATAGCTGCTATAAATTGGCATGTTTGTATTGATTGGTTAATAATAAGGGCCCATTATAGACCCCAATAGGCCCTATAGGCTTAGTAGATAAGCCCATAGCCTAACCCATTAGTGGGTTGGGTTGGATTGGGCTATGGGCTTTATGGGTTATGCAGAGGTCTACTAGTAGGTACTATACTTATACGACTTCTTCGATATTAGTAACTAAGTATTAATATTATCCGTTAAAATTATAATTAGTCTTCCTACTTCTAGAAGGTCTAGTGCCTTTATAATTTTCGCGAACTATTACGCGTCTCTTATAGGGCGGTCTAAAATATACTACTCTAATACTGTCGAGGATAGCGTTATAATTATCTATTTCTTAGAATACTATAAAATAGGAGCTCCTCTAAACAACTAGATAGCGCCTTCGGTAGACTTTAAATTATACTAATCATTTTATAATACGTCCGTATAGATAAAGAATAATAGCTCCGGTATCTTACTAAGTTTAATTATATAGTTAAGTCTTTCCTTTTATACATCTATAGGTTTTTTTAACCGCTTCTATATCGTTAATTATTAGAGAGGCTATTCGGTATTAAAGTCTTATGATAGTAAACCTAAGATCTAGTCGAGTCTTAATCGCTAACTAGTTTAACCTACTAACTATAGATCTATGTAAAGTTTATTCTTTCTCTCTAAGAAGTAACTCGGGGTCCTTATTCTTAGAATCCTACTTCCTATTTAGCGAGAGCGGAATTAGTTATAGAGAATATACCTATATTTCTATTAATTAGAGTACTTCGAGGCTATATACATATTATATTATAGTAATAGTTTTCTTCTTATAATTACGAATAACTCCGATACTAAAGAATCTCGATAGATAGTTTGCCTATATCTTTAATATCGAACTTAGCCTTAACCTCATACGAGGGGTCACTATCTATATAGATAGAGAGCAAATAGATACTATCTAATAAAGCCTAAGGTAGCAACGCCTAGTAGAAATCTCAATAGGTCGGTTGGTCAATTAATGCCATTCACTATGACCATTCGTAAAATGAACCTGATATGCAAGAAACCAAAACTACACGTATCCGAGTATGTTCAGTATGCATAGAGTAATCCGTTTACTGAAGACCAAATTAGAGTCTCATCAAGGTCTCTGGTGGCCTACTTGCCGCTCCCATTATTAGGCTTCCCTCGCGTAACGCACGACTATGAAGTCACCGTGACACTTCGGCAAAGTACAACACGGCATTGAACGTCCTCACCTCAAGATAGTGCCTGGTTATTTTCACCTTTGTTTGAGCCTTCCAGCAAACTCGAAACACGAGACACTATAACACATCCCCCACTTCTTTCTGATTTGCCTCCGCAATTCTGCCAGTCTTGGACGGTCGACCAACGCTCTTATTTTCCGTCACATCGTAGCATGCTATGTATAATATGTTCCGTTTCATTGCCTTTTCTAGCCCGAAAGCCACCGAGTGAATCCCCGAAACAAATACCAGAGAAGTGTTCGGATCATGAATTCGGCCATGATTACAACGACCTTGGGCCGCGCCAGAAAGCTCATCGCGTCGGAAAATGACTTCACAGTCTGACATGGCATTTCGTCACGGTGGTGTTTCGTACAGGTCATCAGCGGAAACTAAGGCTAGTTCCTCATCGTACCATCTTACGATAGCTTCACATCCGGAATGGAGTATCGTTGCTTGGAGATGTGTGTAGATACCGTAGAGAGCTCTCTAGGGAAGCCAAGCACGAGACGTGCATAGAATGTAATAGCTTGCACACAAAGTTACGGAAGTTTCGGTACTTTGCACTCAATTTTTCAACACAAAATTGGCTAAGCCTTCAAGGACGTATGACCGTCTTTTGCCCGTGACCCTCGCGATACTGGTCCAAAACATGGTTAATTCTCGCGACATCTAGCCCCTCCAAAACATGATATTTCAAAGGATGAATATAACCCGCCTTGATCCACGTCGAGATAAAATCCCAGAAAAATTTCGACACCTCTGGGTAAAGTGCGCTGAATCCAAACGTTAAGCGCCTATCATATCCAGCTAACTTTTCACCAATGAATGTTGGGTCAGGGATCGACTCGTTGACTGGATTGAGAGTGATCAAGCAACCTCTTTTTGAGTTTGATAAAGCAGCAAGTCCTAGATCTTGTTCTAACCCCATGTTCACCGCATCGAGAGCGTAAACCAGCTCGTCGCCCACGATACCCCGAGCTTGACGGATAATTTCGTCACGACTAGCTTGTCGGTCAATCACATGTGTTGCACCTAACTCCTGTAACTCAGCTACGGATCTTTGACCTGCAACTGTAATGATCTGTCTGAATCCACTCATCCGGGCAAACTCTATCGCAAATCGGCCGCAGTTCGACCCTCCGCCGATAACAAGGATTGCCTTCCTGCCATCCGCGGAGCAACATGTGGATTTAGGGTTTTCCAATGAAGACGACGGAATGGGAAGCCCTAATCCGCTTGAGTGAAACAAGGCAATAAATGCCGCTATCGCGCACACAGGAATCGTGGCCGACTCGTTGTCAGTGAGACCCGCTGCATCAGTCTGGGCCGCATAGCAGGCATCCACAATGGCGAACTGTTGGAGACCGCCACAATCGGTTAGAGACTGCCCCGGTACAAAGCTCGCGTGTGCGAAGACATTGTCTCCGATATGGAAACGCGGGGGCTTTTGATTTGGTCCCAGTTTTATCACTCGGCCAGCGATGTCATGCGCGACAACCTGGGGAGATTGTTTAAAGAACAAACCCGCATCGCGAGTTTTCTGGTCCATGGGGTTCACTAGAAAAGATTCCGCAAGTAAGATATAAATACATAACTCCTACTCGAGGCTGCGCTAGACAACATCAGGTACTTACGTGAAGCAGCTGTTACCTGCACCAAAACTTGGTTCTCGCCGGGCTCGGGAATACGTCGCTCTATAAGCCGTACAGGCTCCGAGACAGATTGCACGACGATGGCCTTTTGCATGTCGTGAGATGAGCAAATATGAATATTTAGCAGTCCTGATAGTATGTGCCGCAGTGAATAGGTTTCGGTACAGCTTCTAGCCATTTCATACACTAGGGGTGAAGATCTCACGATGGGCTCTCTGACTGAGACGGATTCTGCAGTCCGGGCCCGCCTCCTAACCTGATTACTTACGCCGGTCCAATCTTCATCCAGAGATTGCGGTGCGGCATTTTCATACTTGTTTCGCAGTTTTAAAGACGTGCTTTGGGCCGTCGGTATGGGTACCATTGCCTAAGATAAGACATTTCGGATTTCATAGGGCCCTCGATGAGAGGATGTGTGGCAGGCCTCGGAGTTAAGACTTGCTTACGCCTCGACGATCATTGGCTCCTAGTCATACACTAAGTGCCCCACTACAATGGGGCAGTAGTGACCGAATCCTGGTCGTGAAAAGGGGCGGGGCCATTGTGGGGCATTGTGTTCTCTTGGCCAATGAACTTCTGTATGTCAGCATGTTGATCTTTGTTCTGTGGGGAATGCCAGCCTTGAGTGGGTCAAGTCTAAAAATTCTAAATTATGCTCGCATCCTGCACATCATACAAGAGTTTGTGAGAAAATCATTTGCCCGACCCATCATTGAGCTGATTATAAACCACTACCCACTAGACTGGGTACGGATTCGTATTTTGGTCTAGTTTGTAAAATCAATTCACTGAGCGATCTGCAGGAACGTATACACACTTGAATCTTACAGAAAACTCGTAAGGATAGTCCTCGAGGCCCAAAGAGGGTCCCAATCTCTTTGCGTTGTAGCGTGAGTTTGTGTCCCCGAGTTCGATTTGTCAGCTTCAACACAGACCCCGCACCTGTTTCGAACTTCCATGGCTAACTAGATAATGTCGCATGTCGGGCTTTCGGAGCCTCGAGTACCGACTGACCGAAGCCCCTCTCGCAAGCCCACAGATTCGGTGGCCAAGGGACCTACCGCATCGTTCCTGAATTGTTACAATGTACAGGCAAAACAAGCAGGATCCTAATTTCCGCTTTATATTTCATGCAAACGTCATTCTTCTGGCGGTGTATCCGAGTGAGGGTAAATTTCGAGGCTAGCAATATCTCCCCGCCCTTGCCAGCTAACAGTTTGCCACCAAGGGCCGGAGGCAGTCCATAGATTCAGGGACTGAACGGCCGATGTGCCGAGTGATTCATCTTGCGCTGATTTTGCAACCGACTGATCGACGTAAAATCTAGCTGAATAGCATAACCCGCAAATTTAAAGATGTAGCTAGGTTGAGTACTCGTTTGGGTGATAGTACTGATCATTGGCTGTCCTAACACGGTTCCAAAAGCCGCTGATTCCGACGCTTTGCTTTGCAGTAGGGGGATTATCACCGGTAATAATTCATCTGCCTCTAGAAAGCAAGTATCAGAGCACTGTGCAACTTGCTTCTGCCAGACTAGACTTGAGATATATAAATCAAGTTTGCGACCAATTCTCAAAGTTCAATAGTAGCATCCCTCTTTCGCCTGACTCTTCCAAATCGATCCCCTCGAAGAAAAGGAAACTTCTTAAAATGTCTTCGATCAGCATTCCTACCAAGTCAACCATTCGTCTCCCTAAGGCGTCCAACATTCGGACTATGAATCCTGTGCCTGTTTACGACGTAAACAATTTCTCCGATGCCCGAACTGAAAAGCTCGGAGAATTGTTTGCAAAAGGCCATGATACCGTGGCTCCGCTTCGAGATCCCAAATTGATTCTTCATAGCCATCTGCCACATGTATGCGCAGTTTCTTACTCCCTCAATACCCTATTATTGCCTTATAGCAATGAACATCATACTTAAAAATTCAACAACAGTTCCTAGGTTCCGCGTATGCCCTCGGTGCGGACAAAGATCAGTTAGTCCGCAGTTACGAACATGAAATTACTCAGTTGGTGCCTATTGGCCGAGGCTTTATCCGTGGAGACGCAATTTCTGGGGATAATTGGAGGGATTTTCTAGCTCAGAAAGAGTAAGCGGATGCCAGCGAAGCGAATGCTCCTACTATAGCCTCTGTCCGCCCCAGCTAACGTGGGATGTCGGCAGGTACACCGTTGCCTATGTTGATTTCTTTGACTGCCAAGTCAAGGCACACGACGGCGCCTGGACAAAGGTTCTGGAAGAATACTTGTATTCGGACGCTGAACCTCTGATCAATGGGTTTACTGGGGGCCGTAAGTTTCTCTACTACCGGCAGCACACCGTGGTTACCGCAGGATATGACCGGACAGCTGACAAAGAATAATATATAGTCGGTCACCCCTTTATTCATTTAGCATACGCATACGAATTCGCCAGCCCGCAGGTAGCAACCCAAGCCCTCAGTCAGGGGTGCACTGAATATAACCCGCTGCATACCCTTCTTGACCACCCATCTGTGGACAACTCAACGTACAAAACCACCTCGCTGTCTGAAGTGATCGAGCGTGTCCGGAAGGACTCGCGCTTTGACTCAGTTCTCTCCGAGCCTGGGATACTTAATCTTGATATCCTTACGCAGCGACAACACCTTGACGTCGTGCGAGAGCACTGGAATGCTTGGCAAGTGGTTGACCCTATACGCCAATTTGAGGAGTGCTGCGATCTAGCAGTTCTTATTGCACTCAGTAATGGCGACATAGAAACATCTTTCGACTTTTATAACGCTCATATATTGACGGTTGCGCACGCACTTCGTGTCCTATGGACCTATCTCCCGCCCAAGCATCTGGCGACTGTCTTAAAGCAGTACGTACTTTTTGTGATCTTGACGTATGTGTCGCAGCTACGACCGGATTTTGGAATTGAGGTTTTGGAGGGAGTTACGCTAGATGGGCGGGGTTGGGACTGGGTTATTGATACCGCGCTGAATAGCAAGTGGGCACTCGATGTGCATTTTTTCAAAGTCGTGCGAGCTCCAAAGGTGTTTGAGGAGACATTTGGCCGGAAAGAGGATATATATTTGAAAGCAGCCATTAAATATGTAACTGAATTTCGTGGTTGGGAGGGATATGGTTCAGGCATTGAGGGTTTCGTACCTAGTCGCGATGGATGGATGCCGGAATAAGGGGACGCTTAGTCGTTATGGCTGGTGAAGATGGTTGAAATCTTGTTTTACTTTGTGAATGCTTTCTCTACTATAGCTACTGCTCCATCTCTAGCCGTTTGTACATTGGCTTCAGTAGTTACAGCCTTGAGATCATACATGAAATTCTGCACATCATACACCTGTGATATGCAGCGGAGTCTAATCAACCTTTTCTCCTCGACACACGTCATGCATACGTACAAGAATTTGCCCCTCATCATTCGAGGACACTTCTTGCTCATTTATTAGGGCAGAAAGGACTAAATGGGACCACAATGCCTTCTTTCAAGGTCTCCCAGACCAACGATGAGTCTACTGACCGGTAGTAGAGGAGCTGAACGGCGCGACTCTCTGAAATGCACTTATTGTGAGCGTTCATTCCTTGCGTACCGAGCATCACACGCGACATGAGCGTTCTCGTCCAACATTTCCCCCAGTCGCCCCAGTCACCCGCATCTGTTAGATCAAGCCAGTTGAATTAAGGCAGAGCTCGTGGTAGGTTGGGCGAGCGCTGCATCAGAAGCGGGACGGACAGACGCATCGTCGGACGAGTTTCTTTGGTGTCGAATACGAAGTCCGACTACATGGTAGAAACCAGGTATTATACCGGAAACATCATGTGACATACCATACAAAAACGGGTGTATATTACAGTTAGTCATCGAGGTCCGCACAGATTGTTGAAATAGCGGGTTTTGTCATTTTTAGTTAGTTAGTTAGAGTCTTCAACATTGGTCATCTATACCATACATTGTTCGTACACCAGCTTTCTATCATTTGGCGCTAGTTGCGCTCCGCCAGCAGTTTGCTCCGCGGACGAACCTGAGCAAAATTGTCGTGAATGAGAGATACTTACTTGTTGGTAGTTTGACTTTATGCTAGGAAGTTATTAATGGGTTCCAAACTCTCTGTAATTGTGTAAATTAGCGGGTCCATACTATGGTAACCAAGTGCCCAAGCTCTCAGTCTTACTAAACATCGGCCCTCGGCCACATTTGGCCCCGAGCCACGGGCTCCAACGACGAGAACCTTCGACACGTATTTCCCTTTCTATTTAAGATGCCTCGTACATACTTATATTTGCATCTTACATCTCCTCGAACCAGTTTGGCTTTTGATCTACCATTCCTGCTTGGATCTGACTAACCTCATCATGGCACCGAAAGAGCTACGCGATAATGTCTCCCGAGTCAAGGAGCCTTCCCCCGTGGGCAAAGGCTTGTTTGTGTGTCTTCGTATGGCAGATGTGCTCTGGCAATACAACTTGTTTTATCGGGGCTGGGGTACACGCCTGATTGAGAAGTTCGGCGGCCATCCTGTGCATTCATCGCAGCTACTTTACCCTGCAGCGATCTCCGGCCTTCAACCTTATTATGTGTTGGTCAGTCTCTTAGCTCTGGGTAGCAGCCTTAAGCAGATAGTGCACATTGTCTTTGTCTCCGAACAGGCTATGGACGTGGGCTCTGGCATCGCTGTTGCCTGCTTTAATACAGTTTTCAATACTGTGAACACCCTCCTGTCGCTCTGGATGTTCACCTCCTCGGCTGCGTCCGTTCCCAAATCGAACAGCCTGCTTGATATACTGTCAGTTCCTTTGATTGCAGTCGGAGTGGGGGCGTACTCTCTTGGCCTGCTACTTGAAGCGATATCGGAATTCCAGCGTAAGGCGTTCAAACAGGACCCTAAGAACCAAGGAAAGCCCTACGGTGGTGGCCTCTTCTCACTCGCCACGAACATCAATTACGGAGCCTACACAATCTGGCGAACTGGATATGCTTTGACTTGCGGTGGCGTTGCCTTCGGTGCAATGACCTTCACCTTCTTCTTTCACGATTTTGCCTCTCGTGGCGTCCCTGTGTTGGATCAGTACATGAGCGAGAGAGTAAGTCTGTTTCTTGCTAGTTAAC